TCGGGTTACAAATTATAAATAAATAAATTATAAATTTCCATTTTTGTTGTTAAAATAAGACACAGCAGATGGGTAAAAACTCTTTAAAAACCTTTTAGATCCCTTAAAAGTTAAAAGCCTGCAGTTGCTCGGTAAAAATTTAAAAAGCCCATGTGCGGGGTGGGTATAGTCAGACATGATTTTCTCTGTTTTTGTTACTGATCTATTAGTATAGATGGCACCTAGAGAGGGGAGTTCCAGACCGATGATTTTGCCGCACGTTGATGTGACCATATCTAGACGCTTGCGTTCTTCTACAGTGGCCCGCCCATACCATACTATGATTGCAAATGTTAATATACTTTCTATAACGCATTTGTAAAAGTTTGCTAAAATCATTTCATTTGAAGTAAAATCCTTCAACTTTCTTAAAAAATATACCCTTTGCCTCGCTTTTTTTAACTGTTTGTCTATGTGGTCCTTCCATGTAAGTGAGCTATTGAATTCTACCCCCAGCAGTCTAAAATTGGCTACTTGCTTTACTGCAGTGCCACTGATATGAATGGGTTCTTTCACATTTCTATTCTTTCTGAAGTCAACAATCATTTCCTTAGTCTTCTCTACATTCAGTAACAAATCGTTGTCTTTACACCATTGTACAACTGAGTTGACATCGTTTCTATACCAGGTCTCATCATTATCACTTATTAAGCCAATTAAAGTGGTGTCGTCTGCAAACTTCACGATGCAATTACTCTCATGAGATGAAACACAATCATACGTGAACAAGCTGTACAGACATGGTGACAGAACACAACCCTGAGGCGCACCTGTATTTAAAACCACAATATCAGAAGTACTTGTACCCACTTTCACAGCTTGTCTCCTGTCTAATAAAAAATCTAAAACCCAACTGCATAAAAATGAAGGAAATTTCAGTTCGTTTAAAAGCTTAGCATAAAGTTTTTGTGGAATAATGGTATTAAAAGCCGAGCTGTAGTCTATAAATAAGATCCTTGCGTATGTGTTTTTCTTATCTGCGTGTTCTAAAATGTTGTGTATGCACATACTAAGAGCGTCATCTACGCTTCTATTGCGTCTATATGCAAACTGAAAGGGATCAAGTGTCTCTGGTACAATGGTTTTAATATACGACAGAACAAGTTTCTCTAGAATTTTCATTGGGACTGGGGTCAACGCAACCGGACGGAGATCGTTTAGGCAAGAAACTGTTTTGGACTTCGGCACAGGAATGATAGTAGCTGTCTTCCATGCCCGCGGAACTCGTTGGGAAAGCAGCGATAGATTGTAAATATCCGTGAATACATGTGCCAGTTGTGGTGCACATGTCTTTAGAAGCCTTGGCGAAATACCATCTGGTCCAGATGACTTGTGTGCGTCGAGGCCCATAAAATGACACTGAACCTGCCATTTCTGAACAGAAAGGGGCGGTGGGTCATGTGGATGTGCATTTAGTGGAGCCGATCTTAAGTCCGAGTTGTTGGCAATGTCAAACCTAGCGTAAAATTCATTCAGCTTGTCGGGAAGTGCTGTGTCGTCGTCACTCAGTACGTGTTTTGGACCTTTGTATTTAGTGAGTGATGACATGTTTGACCATAGCTGTCTTACGTTATTGGTCTCAAACTTTTCTTCGAATTTCTTTTTAAAGTCTCTCTTGGCGTTCTTGATGGCCCATCGCAGGGTTGCTTTTAACTTCCGATAGTTTTCGGGGTGTTGTTCTTTGTTACGGTAGGCTACATCTTTTTCCTTAATGAGCTTGCGGATCTTGTTGTTGCACCAGAGCTTGTTGTTAGTAAACTGCTTCACTTGCTTTCTCGGGACACACATTTCCTCACAGAATTGGATGTAACCAGTAACGGCATCAGTGTAGTTGTTAACGTCCTCAGTATCTCTGAATACCTCCCACTCGGTGGCCTCGAGGCAATCATGGAGGGTATCTATGGCTGCTTGGTTGAAAACTTTTACTGTTTTTATGGTGGGCTTGTTTTCCTTGAATTGTTGCTTGTATGTTGGAATTAGCAAGATAATGCAGTGGTCGGAGTTTCCTAAAGAGGATCGTTTGACTGGTTGGTACGCCCCTTTAATAGGACAATAGCAGTGGTCCAAAATGTTATTGCCCCTTGTCGGAAAATTGATGACCTGGCGATAATTAGGTAGTGTCGTTTTCAAGTTGGCTTTGTTGAAATCACCAAGGACAATAGATAATGAATCAGGTTCCGAATTTTCATGGGATGTGACGACTGATGTGAGGTTTTGTATTGCTATTTTTGTATCAGCCCGGGGGTGGATGTAGACGGCTGTAATTATGACACTAGTGAATTCACGTGGTAGATAGAATGGCCTGCACTTTAGTGTTATCAACTCAATGTCTGATGTACATATTTCATGTAATTTCTTAACTTCCGTGCACCATGCATTGTTAATGAGAAAACACACACCTCCGCCTTGCCTCTTACCCGTGCTTATCCGCTCTCTGTCTTGCCTATATATCGAAAATCCCTCTGGTTGAAGGCACTGATCGGGAATGTTCTCAGTTAGCCATGTCTCTGTAAAGCAATAGATATTACAATTCTTGTAGTCTGCAAAGTTCGATATTCTGTAGTTTAGTTCGTCCATTTTGTTATAAAGACTTTGAACATTAGCCAGGATTATGCTTGGTACTGGTGACTTTAGTCTTCTTCTCCGTTGTCTTACTAGTTTGCCTCCCCTCCTGCCCCTTTTACGTATTCCGTATCGTCTAGCTGTGGGTAATATAAAATGAGCAGACTGCAAGTTATGCAACTGTGTTGGAGTTAAGAAGTCTGATGCTTCGTGTCGTAGTTGTAAAAGCTGGTCCCTCGTGTAGGATAATATTGTCACTGACAGAGCTGTTGTAATAACCAGGTAAAAGATAAACATAGTCAGAGCCCGAGATAGCATGTCGCCATTTGCCGGCGCCATATTGGCTGGAGCTTGGGTGTGATAACTGCTTTTTTTTCTGACATGCACATCCATATAAGAATCTTTTAAATAACTGCTAGCTGCTAGCTTTGTATCATTGACTTGTAAGCTCTAGCATTAGTATGGACACTTGTTGTTTTACATTTAATATGCTTTAAGTTTTCTTAAACTATTAGAAGAATTTGTGTACTGTGTAAAAACAGGTCATTTAGCTAACTTTGATTTCTTTTTCTAAGCATGAAACTTGTGTTTTCCAGATCATTACCCTACTCCTTGTCTGTGATGTTCTATTAGATGTGTTCAAGACAGCTAGCGAGTATGAGACGGAAAGTCCACCTCCGCCTCTGGTTCATTTTGTCTCCCCTGGAATACTAGCTGTCACATTGGTAAGTTGGCCTCTCGATCATTTTAGCCTGTAAAATTTTCCTCTCACTGAAATATTTTTATATTTCTTTTTATTTATGCAATTTTAGTTATAAAAAGTAACTGAAAGGCGCAGTTTGTTGTAATCACTCTTTCAGTACATATGTACATATACTGTACAAAAAGACAACTTGTGTTGTTGTTTCAAGGTTGTCTGTTTATCTTTGTGTCCCTGAAATCATGTTTTTTTTTCTTCTAAGAAATTTAACTTTAACATTGTTCAAGATTGGCGATGTAGCATTCTAAAGTCAGTCAAAAGACATCTTTGGCCCCATTTATATGTACCAATAGCAGGGCATCATTGAACACTGTCACAGTAAAAACATAACCCATTTCATTAATCAACCAAAAAAGATCTGAGGTTACAATGCATGGGCATGTGATGGTATGAGCCTTTTAATAAAACATACACTAGTACCTGCTTTATACAGTTACTTTCATGCATCCCATTCAGTAATGCATTTTCTCAACAAATAATATGAATGTATTGTTACTAGTTACAAAAAGAGTCCTGCACTGTATGTCGCATAGAAGAGTGTAATTATATTGAGGTGCAGCTGAGACATAATATGCTTCTGTATTTTGCATACAGTAGATCATGAGTAATTGTAACTGACTTAATAATATCCCTTGACTGGTGTTTCGAAAAATAGGATGAACACACCAAAGTGTATGAAAATTAAGGTGAACATGTACTGTAAGCAAAATACAAGTACAATATTTTCCCATTGTTTGAAGTGCTGGCCATGGAATAATGAGCGGTAACAATGTGCAGCATACAGTATATGAGGTAGCAAATTAAGCTGGAATAAAGAGAGGCAGATGAAGTCACATGTAGGCTTTGTCCAGTGTAACAATGCTGAGATCATCTGAAGAAAGCAAGAAGTTCTTTACAACTTCTTGGAAGAAAGGGAGTTGTGGAAGTCCTCGACAGTCAATGTCCTGAAAGGACAAGATATTTGAAGAGAATCAGAGAATTCATTGCAACTGTGCAGTATTCATAGTAGGTCACAACAATTTTTCTTTGGGTATGATGCATTATAATCAGATACTTTTATCACGCTTGATAAGTTCAAACACATGCTTTCTCATAACTTTGGATCATTCGCAAATAACATACACCAATACTGAAGATATGATACAAAGGTATTGGAGTCAGTTCACCTGATTTAATATCTGTCTGTTAGGTGTGAAAGATATGTGTTTTGTATTGGAACCTGTTAGGAGAAGGGGGCTTATCAGGTCAGACCTTCCAACTTATACAAATACCATATTGATTTTGTTTGTCAGGTCACTAATTTTTAGGACCTACATGGCTTCTGTGACCCACAAAGATTAAGGGTCCCTCAGTGTCTTTTTTATTTCTAAAAGTGGGTGTGAAACAGCACCACTTTGTCTTTTGGGTTCATTTCAGTGTATTTTATCATCAGTCAAATATACTATGAGAAATTGGCAAATATATTAATGAAATAGGATTAATTTGTTTTGCACAATTAATGGGATTTTACAGAAATAAACTTAAGTGTTCATTTGTTGAAAATCTGTTATTCTTGTATTTTTTACACTGATTGCTATCAAATTTTGAAAGCAAATTGATCGCATAGCATTTGCTTTATACAGAAAGTATGGGTCACAGAAAAATATTTACCACAGATAATGACAGCAAATCATTGAAAAAAAAGGCAAATTGCCTCTTACTATTGTCAACTAATAATTAAAAAACTTTAAAATAGTGGGCCTTTTACATCTTACAATATTTATAGATTAATGAGACAGCTGAGCTTGATGTATATGTACTCAGTAGTTGTATAACAGAGGTAGCAAAGTCTATGCCAGATGCATTGGTACATGGTGCTTTGGAAGGAGATAGGGGGTGGGTTATTGCAAATGATTAACGCTGTAGTAGGTCTTCCTTGACTTCTGGGATGGTGCTCTTTTCATTGATATAAGACTGCATTCCCATAAACCTATCATACTAGCTGAATCGGTCTAACTAAAGAATGGTCCAAATCATGAACAGATGCCAGCAATATAGGAACAGGAATATTGTATACTAATATATGCACCATAAAAGCTTTTATCCATTGATGGTTTTCGCGATGATTGAAATATCTAGATTTAAATAATGTACTCCTGATTATATATCAGTATTGACATAAGATTTCACAAAGATAGGCGCTGACTACACCAAGCTTCATGACCCAGACTTGGTTACTGTATTATATATATCTGAACCGTGATTGTCATATAAAATATCATTCCACATACTCCTGGGTTAGCTTGCCCCACATATCATCAATCATTCTGAGTAACCCATGTGCATGTATAATGGCTTTTTTTACAATAGCTTCAAGATAAAATACAACTGTTACATTATTCCATTTGCCACACATAGCATTGTATATCAGGTTACCATTTGCCACTTTAGACAGTATTGACTATAATATTATAATTTAACATACTGTTATAACTGCTGTTTATGACTTCTGAATCAATCTATCACATGTGTGCCAATTAAATTGTATTAATGCTACCTGACATACAATTTTATTACTGCACATTGCAACAATGCTATTCCAGTTGTAGTAAATCATGCCCTTTCTTGCAAAAGAAATTGTTGGGGAAAACCTACCAAATCTTACTATAATTTGTTTACTGCTCTAAAACAATCTGAGAAATGTGAAGAATTCATCACCATTTTGTGAATATGTGATAATTACATTCAGTGTGATTTCAGATGCTTGTAGCAGTAATACAACAAGTGGAGCGTGCCAAGGGAGTGTATTCTTCTGGAGTCCTCTGGATTTTTTGGTTTCTGCTGATTGTAGCAGGAATTGTGCCATTCTATTCCAAAGTAGTCAATTTTGATAAAGTAAGTCTTCTACAACATCAGTTGATAAATTTTCCCTGATGTAAGATTATTGATTTGAAATTACTTTGTGTTTTAATAGTAACGTTAACAATCAGTTGTGAACCTAGGCTGCCTTTTCTATATTTTTTAAAAATTTTATTTGTGTATTTGTTTGATTGTAAAATTAAGATTTTAAAATGTTTGATTGACACTTATACATTATGTCATTTGAAAAAAGGTCTTTAATCAGTTTTTGATTATTTTGTGAGTAACAAGGACTATGGTCTTTAAGACGATTTCCACTTTCTTAGAAAAAAAAAGAAAAAAAATCATAGTAGGAGGTGTATTTACTTAGTTTAAAAAATATTTTCTGTTTGTGTGAGTTATAAGAGTTGAAGATATTTCATGTTTGGACCATCTTTTCAGGTATGGAAAAATGACATCTACAGATTTGTCACCTTCTTTGTGTATTTTGGTCTTCTCCTGGTGCAGTTTGTCCTCTGCTGTATCAGTGACCTCCCCAGGAATAACCTACCAGAAGGAGCTGTAAGTATATACTATATCCCATCTTGCACTTCCTCGATTTCAGCACTAGTAAATTACTAATCTTTTCTGGATATTAATGTCAAATTGCAGCAAATAGGTATATGATTTATTTTGTTAGCAATTGTTATTAATATTATTAAAAGCATCTGACTGTCTAAAATGCATTCATTAAGAATTGATTGTTTTGATATAGTATCAACATGTGGTAAGATAACTGTGCACAAGGGCATTATATGGGACAGGTTAAATAGTGCTTGGTATGATCAACATAAGTAGTATAAAGAAAATGTAACAATTTGCAGTGATATGTGACTGTGAATAGTACAAGTAAAAAAGCAAGATCAAAGAAGACAATGAAAGGATAAAGGGTATTAAATTGGACAGCAAGTTTACTATCTTATAGTTGTAAAATTTTATATAAATATAAATAAAAACTTAATAAATCAGAGATCTGGATAGTTCACCGTCAGCTCTTCTAAAGAGATATTTATTTCTAAAAGATATGAATTGACACCTCAGCTATAGTGATTATATTTATAAATATATGTGCTTCATACTAACATATCCTTTTGTCTTGTAATTTCATTAATTTGAAAATTAAAATTAAAAATATCCAATTGAAGAGGGAATAATGAAAAATATGAGTTAATGAGAAGTGGAAATAGAAATAAAAACTCATTGTGTTAAGGGTGCCACCTGGTGTTAAATGATAAAAAACATTATGCATCCAACATGTACACCACATCTACAGCAGTCACAGGATATTTTTTGCTGATGTATAAATCTGTCCATCTTTAATTTTAGTATTTGTAAAATGGAACAGAAAGACACTCATGATGTCATGTAAGATATGATAATTTTGAGTGTTTTTCAAGTGTTTTTCTGCACCACAAATTAAGGTTGGAAACATATTTATGTTTACCTTGATATTCAGTGTGGCTGATGCCAATTCCCAGTTTTGATATTTGCTTTTTTCTGTTTACAGAAGCCATCTCCAGAGATCACAGCCTCATTTCTCTCCTATATTTCTTTCCATTGGATTAACAGGTATAACATTTAACACCTTGTCAATGGGTCTGTGACATTTTTTACTGAAAGTTTTTGAAGAGTATTCTTGCTCCTGTGTAGTTATGGTGCTTATTAATGAATATCAACCAACACATAAATCTAAACTTAAGTATTTTTTAAGACTGATGATTTTTAGGTGTACCTACACACTCTCTCTCTCTTTTCTCTCTTACCAAAACAAAAAGAAAAATCTGTACTCAAGCAATATTTTCAGAATTTTCTGATTTTATTAACTATTTTTAAAGCAGTACTTTTGGATTTTTTTCTTAATCAGTTTGATTTAATAATGGCCATATGCCAGCAATGAACAATGTTTTTTAATGTTGAAATCCTTCTCTTTGACAAGAATCCATACATTATTATACATTCTTTCACTTTAAAATATTATGCACAAAAAGAGGTAAAAATTATACAAGCAATTTTCTCAAGGAAAGGTTAATAGTTTTGTTATAAACTTTCTGTCCGTTTCAGCCTTGTAGTGAAGGGCTACAAGAATGACCTGGTGGCTGATGACTTGTTTGAACTAAACCCCAGAGATGTGTCGGCCAACAATGCACCTATGATAGAAGCAGCATGGAAGGTGGAACTCGAGAAAGCGAAAAAGTAAGCACATCTGTTGTACAAGCGTACATACAAGAGATAAATAGTTACAAGTTGCTGACACCCTATGTCCCACCCGCAGTCCACACACTCAGACCAGCTTGTATGTCATGGTCTGAGGGTATCCGAAAAATCCTTTTCACATTTGGCCTTGGTGATGTGTGGCTTAGCCAGTCACCTCCAAAAAACTTCACCACAATTTTCAAACAGAGACAAACTGACCACTTTACCCAAATATGCAATAGCAAACTTCAAGCCAACAGTTAATTATCTCTCTTCCGTATACTTAACCAAAAGTGTGAAAGGGCAACTTATGTTGATAAAATAACAAATTACGACACCTTGTCAACCCTTGCTAAACTACGTCTTAGTGACCATAAACTCCACATCGAAACTGGGTGGCACACCAGGCCAAAAACTGAAAGGTGCGACAGAATCTGTCGCCTGTGCACACAAGGGGTAATTGAGGATGAATACCATTTTATATTCCAATGCCCAATGTACAAAACAGACCGAGTCACCTTTTTCAGTAAAACCTCATTCCTAAAAGTTGATTCAAGGTCACCAGACAGTCAATTATGCCATGTATTTAACAGTGCCAACAAAGATACTTCAGTGTCCCTCTCCAACTTTATAATCAAATCATTCAAGAAAAGAAGTGAAGTGGTTGCTCTGCTTGGTAACTCTTAGCATATCCCTTAAAATGTCAGTGTATGGTCCCACTGTTGTGAGAAGTGACTCGGCAGTGGGACTGAACATGGCACAATATTTATATCTGTGTAACCTATTTACTTATCTGTCTTATGTAATTGTCATTAATCGTAATTATCAATGTCATCAAACTGGCTTTGAACAGCCATAAAAACAGCTATGTAACGGTGGTTTTAAGTTTTTTAAAAACATATTCTTTTTGTGTAACATGCTTATGTTTATGGTAAATTTATAATCACACCAAGGTTTATCTCATTACTTAGATAGAATATTTTATGAGTAATTTTACTAGTACTTATCTTCATTATATAAAGATGGTAATGCACTAACTGTATTGTATCATCATTTGTATATCATATTGTACAAGGTCATGACAATCTATGTACCAGTACAGAAATAAATTGAAATTGAATAATTGTAAATTAGTAGAATTAAGAAGTAGGCAAGGCTTAGAGAAAAATCACAATTGTAGGACTCAAAAAAGTTTAAAATGTGATATTATAGTAGAAAATGTGATATTATAGTAGGCAAGGCTTAGAGAAAAATCACAATTGTAGGACTCAAAAAAAGTTTAAAATGTGATATTATGGGATAGAGGATAAGAGGACTGGGAATTTTTTTTTATTTTAAGCAATAAATATTTTGGATATAGAATATACCAAAGTGGTTTTACATACCAGTAACTATAAAGAGAAAATGTTGTGTTTTAGAGAAGCAGCTCAGCTAGCCCTAAAGCTTGGATACAGCAAAGATGCCAATGGCATGTGGGTCAAGAACCAGCCCATGAACTTGGCATACAATGCCACAGAGTCCACAGAGAGAACACCTTTACTGACAGGAAGCAACAGGAAGTCCGGGGAAGATGATGTGGAATTCAAAAATGGGAAGAGGAAAAAGAAAGATGATGGCTGTCCCAAACCCAAACCGTCCCTGGTGAAGGTGATAGCTAAGGTGTATGGCAGTATACTGACAAAGGCTATACTGTGTAAACTGGTATATGATGGGCTGCAGTTCGTGGCACCACAGTTACAAGGGTGAGTGGGGAAAAGTTGTAGAATTATGTAAAATGTTCGGGGTTTTTCAAGGAGTTTTATAACCTTTCAGTGGAGGACCTGGTTAAGATACTCTTTCCTTTTTCTTGTTTACCAATGTTACATAGTACAGAATAAAATGAGATAAATCAGGTATTTGAAAAAATACAGTATGTGTGAGCATGTGTAAAATTTGCATCAGATTTTACTTTTTTGATAGATCAGTAAGATATAAAGTTTTTATTACAAGCGGAGATGCAAAAACTTTTCAGCAACATATTCCCTTACCTCAACTTCCCAATGGTGTATATTGATGATGCTGATGCTGATGCCCTTATTCTCTAGATTGATGATCAGATTCACAGAAGATGTGGATGACCCAGAGTGGCATGGGTACCTGTATACAGTGGCCTTCTTCCTGACTGGGCTGACAGGGTCCTTCTTCTACCACCAGCTGTTTCACCTGTCCATGACCACGGGAATGAGGCTCAAGTCTGCTCTCATTGGGGCTGTCTACAAAAAGGTGGAGTTAAGCTGTGGGTCGTAATACTTGTATTGTGTATATATATCTATATATATATATATATATATATATATATATATATATATATATATATATAATAACTATTTCGAAGGTTTTTACCATTAGCTCACACAGTTTTATAATTATGTGGTGTTGATGAATTTCACCTATTATACATATTTACAGCCCTGTTACTTTCCCTCTCAGAACCTGACTATGAATAATACTTAATACATGCTATGGTGTTATTCACTTACTATGTACATAAATGTTGCCTTATTCTGTTCCTCTTAGGCCCTAACCATGAGTAACGAGGCCAGACAGGAGTCTACTGTGGGTGAAATAGTCAACCTGATGTCTGTGGATGCCCAGCGTGTACAGGATGTCATGGGATATCTCTGGATGTTTGTGTCTGCGCCCGTACAGATTGCTCTTGCACTGTGGTTGCTGTATCAGCAGCTGGAAGGGGCTATATTTGCTGGATTGGCTGTCATGGTACTCCTGATTCCCATCAATGGTGTCGTTGCAACGAAACTGAGGAAGTTGCAGGTATGGGTAGTTTGGTCAAAAGTCATAACATCTCAGTCTCCTCAATTCTGCCACTTTTGAGTTGTGGAGCTACTTGGATTCCTGCATCTGAATACGCTATAGTTGTTATTGTCGGCCCTCAGCATACAACATACCTTATACTGGCCTGCAGTTTTATTAAACATAGGAAAAACAAAGAGTTAAAATTTCAGTAGTTATTAATTAATGGAATGCATGTCAAAAGTAATTGTAAAGGTGCTGTTGAAAATATTAAAAAATTTTAAGAATGGATGATACATGTATTAAACAAATGATCCTCTCTGCTATTTGTTTCATAGTAAGTAGTTTTGACCCAATAATTTTTTGCATTATGTAATTTTTTATATTTCTTTGTTACAGGTGGCTAACCTTAAGATGAAGGATAGTAGAATTAAGCTGATGAATGAAGTTCTTTCTGGAATAAAGGTGTGACTTTGCATTGACTTGGTTTTTCACCACATAGAGAGTGGAACTTGAATTTATGATTAAATTTAATTGCTCATTTTGAATTCTTACCCTTTAAAATAAGACTTAAATTAGGGTTAAAATTTACAGTTGTTTTCTGTTATGTATCTCACAGGTTCTGAAGCTGTACGCCTGGGAATTGTCATTCAAGGAGAAAATTTCAGAAATTAGGCAGAAAGAGCTGGCCTTGCTGAAGAGGTCTGCCTATCTCCAGGCTGTCACTGTCTTCTGCTTTACATGTGCTCCTGTCTTGGTAAGATTTTATGTCTGGAATTTATTCATAATTTATTCATAATTTTCCTTGCTGTAACAATTGAATATTTTCTACTTGATTTGAACTTACAACAGACTTTTTCAAGCTATTTGTGGAAAAATCTTAAATCAATGGATCAAACGAATGGATATTAAAAATATTTTTCCAGTATTATTTTTTCAAATCGGTGCATAAAGAGCAGTCAGTCATCGCTAAACATGACATTTTACATAAAGTTAGTATAGATAGATGGATGGGTGGAATGATCTACATATAAATTAATGTATATTTACAGGTCACTTTGGCATCGTTTGCAACCTATGTACTGATAGACTCAAAAAATGTTCTGACAGCAGAGAAAACATTTGTGTCACTGTCTCTTTTCAATATTCTCCGCTTTCCCATCAATATGCTGCCCATGATGATATCATTTGTAGTGCAGGTAAGGTAGCTCTTAATGTGTTATTGCACAATGGAATAAGAATTTATCTATTAAAATAACAGTCTGACATGATTTTGCAGAAAGACATTTTAAAAATTGATGTGGGGCATGGACAGTAGAATGTGACCTCAAAGTATCAAACCCCTGTTTCAACAGCTAATCCAAGGGATTGAAAAGAAGTGAGATAGATGTGTCCTGTAGTTAAATGCTCTCTGTTTTTTTTTTCATGTTTTTGTCCTAACAACAAGTTCACATACTTGTAAGGGATATTGTGCATTTAATAGAAATTCTGAAAGTAGACCAATGCATCTTTTAAGAAGTATTATCTTTTATATTTATCAGGCCAATGTTTCCATAAAGCGTCTGTCAAATTTCTTGTGCAATGAAGATATTGATCCCAACAATGTACATCACAACCCCAATGCCAGTGAGTGAACAGCAATCTCTAACTATAAACCTCAGTCAAGAATTTAATACATAACATTTTTTTTTCTTAATATAATGAATGAAATAATACAATTGATAATGATATTTATCTGTATAAAACCCTCGGATGTTCTGCAAACTGTGTTTTATTCACGTGAAAAAGGATTAAATTTTATGCTGACATATTTCTTCATTACAGGACATCCAATAGAAATAAGGAATGGCAAATTCTCCTGGAGCAAAGGGGACAGAGTTGTTTTGGAGGAGTATGTTTAGACAAATACACCACAGAATTATTTAAAATGTGTTTTGATAATATACAAAAGAGTAGATGTCTTTTGATTTGAGAATTTTAATACAAGTAGAATTCAGGCACCTGTTTTTTTCTGTTAAAATAGTGAAAATAGAAACTGTAGCTGGTTCTTGTATATGTACGCATTTTAGTTGTAATCCTGTCTCATTTCAAGATTTTTTTATATTTTCTAAAATACCGATCCATTTTCACAAAAGCTGGTCCTTATACATACCATATTTTATTTTCAGTATAATTATGGTCTTACACCTCATGTCCATAGCATTCAATAGCATTTATAGGTCAGTTATCATGGCTTGGAATACAGTGTGTCATTAAAATTGTGCATGACATTTCAGTGTCAATTTGGAGGTCCCTGATGGTAAGTTGGTGGCTGTGGTGGGACAGGTTGGGGCAGGCAAGTCATCCCTACTGTCTGCCATACTGGGAGAGATGCAGAAGGTAGAGGGCAGTGTCAACCTCAAGGTAAACCAGAAATTGACACTTTTCGTCAGGGTTTTTTTGTCAGTGAAACTACAAATAACAATTTTATCAAAGTATAAGCTGCATGGGCGTAACTAGGCATACGCACGGATGCACTGTGCGTACAATTTTTTTGGCCAACCATGATATTATTTTATATAAATTTAGTGTATTTTTCACGGAATATAAAAGAAAATCCTCTGCTTATTAAAGTCACCTGTATGTACAAATTCTCGGTATCAATTGTATAGGCACAAATGTTCTGACCCCCCTCCCTGTCTTGCAAACTGAGGTTAACAATGCCTGTAACCTTAACAAGTCCTATCTTAATCGTCCATCTAACTGGAACTTCCTTTACCTCTCAATTGGAGGGTTCAGTGGCCCTCAACTCTTCTGTACAATTTTTTTGAGAATATCATGCGCATTCTCCCTGGCGATATTTATCTCAGGTAAAAATCTGCCTGAGTGTTATTTTCAAAGAGCAGCTCGATCCAGCAACCCTGGGGGCACTAGATAAAATCTGGACACCAGGTTTAAGAAGGAGCTAGAGAAACAAAGGAAGAATTTTTACAGCAAAACTTCAAAGAATTTTGACACGGACTTCACCCAGCTTATCACAAACAAATAATTAAACTTAGATGTATCAGAGCTCTGTCGTGTCGAACAATAGGTTGGTTTTGGGAGCCATGCATCCACAGGTAAGGTGAATGAAACCGTATGTTAGTTCAACTCAGAGGTGGATCCAGGATTTTTCGAAGGGGGTTCCACATATGCGAAGCTAGCCTCCTTTTAAATAAATATACCATTCTGGCTAATAAGAATATTGGAACTTTTTTAATTGCAAGAATATTTCTGACTAAATGATGATTTTATTAATAATGGAAATTAAGCTGCTATGTGTGGTACACATGCAGGGCCGTAGCCTCCGGTGGGAGCAGCTGCCCCCCCCCCCCCCCCCGGGATTTGAGGTGCAAAAAAAAAAAAAATAATAATAATAATCGCAGAGGTAAATAAATAATTGCAAAGTTTGTTTCAGTTCTGTGAGAAAATGCACTCATGGCCACTAGACAATCATTCAACAATATGTTTACAAAGGTGTACTGTTTTTAGCCAACTCAGTTCATGCCAAAATGCTCACCCTCCCTTAGGAAATGAAGTCCAATTGGCGTGTTGTGTTGAAAAATGACTGTACTTATGGCAAAATGAACCCACAATTTCTGACCTCTGATTGAGCAATAAATAACAGTTAAAATACACCAGAATGCAGTAGTATACATACAGTTTTTAAAAATTTTCCACACCGTGTTACCCCCTCCCACACCCTACCCCCTCGGCGGCTCCGCCCCCTCGTGTCCGCTTACTGCCCCCCCCCCCTGGCATTTTGCTCAGGCTACAACCCTGATATGCTGTAATTACGCTGTCCTTCATCTCTTGGGTTAGTCTACATTTTGCTGGGAATTTTAAAAATCTGTGCGTACAATTTTTAAAGGTCTGGTTACGCCCCTGAGCTGCAGCCATGAACTAAGTACTAAATGTTTTTTTCCTTAAAATCCCTAGAAGTGTGAATTTTAATTGTCAGTAGAACAAAACAAAAATGGTAGAAAAAAATTTAGTCTAGATGTGATCCTTAATTCAGTTCTATTCTGTAACTTGATAAGCTTTACTCTGTTTCTGTATCTACTGTTTCAGGGCAGTGTGGCTTATGTGGCTCAACAGGCCTGGATCCAGAATGCCACTCTGAAGGACAACATATTGTTTGGCCGGCAGGAAATGAGGAAGAAGTATGAGGAAGTGGTGGATGCCTGTGCCTTGAGACCTGACTTGGACATTTTGCCTGGAGGAGAGATGACTGAAATCGGAGAAAAGGTTTGACAGTCCATCCCCCTTGCGTCTTCCTTTGGGCATTATGTAACCAACATAAATATGAATATTTTCAATTATGATATTATGCCCCCCTTCCCTGCCTTGCACACACCCACGCGCACTCACAAATGCATGCATGTGCAGAAACACACAGACACATGTTCTCTCTCTCTGCTCTCATTAGCATAAATTTTAACACTGAACATATCACTTCGTACTGGTATTTGTTCTTACACAATTGATGTTCCTTGTTTTAGGGTATCAACTTGAGTGGTGGTCAGAAGCAGAGGGTCAGTCTGGCCAGGGCAGTGTATAATGATGCTGATGTCTATCTCCTGGATGACCCTCTTAGTGCTGTGGACTCCCATGTGGGCAAGCACCTGTTTGAGAGTGTCATAGGTCCTAAAGGATTGCTGAGGAAGAAGGTAATATTTTGACATTGTATATCAATTGATCCCAACCTCCTAAATCTGCTAGCAACTGATATGCCTTTTTGCTGCTCAGTGACAGTCCTTTAATAATACCTGCTGCCTCTCCATCCAAGAGATATTTTAAATAAGAAAACTTTGACTTTAAAATTCTCGTACCAGTTGTTAGATTCGATTTCCTCACCACTGAACTACGGCAACTGAAACTTTGGCAAAATAACATTTGCAGTTGTACTGGACTGCACAGAGGTCTCATCTTTGCAATTGGTACCAGTAATCTCTGAGAGAAACCTGTTGGCTTTAGCTCTCATCTTCAGTGCCTTCTCCATTATGGGTGCAGCTTCTGGACTCATATATAGAGTTTGTGCTTCTTCAAATTCTCCGGTCTAAATCCCGTAACTCATTTTCTACACCAAATTTGTCTTCATTCTCATCTAAGCAGTTATTCAAAAAGTTCATGGCTTGTGTCAGCCAAGCCTGAGATGCACTCCTTTTCTTTAAGTTCACTTTGGCGTCTTCCATTGTTTACTTCACAGAAACACTGTTCAAATTTCCTGGCTCGTGGCACCAAAATGTCACTTACACAGGACATTCGCAATAGCTTCCACTAAAAAAAATATGCCACACGAAGGTGCCCAACAACTTTTCTTTATTCATTATTGCACACGAGTACATGTATCTCCACCACCAACATGGAGTCCCCACTATCCTTCCAAAAACTCCCAACAGAGGGACGCCACAATCCTGTGTTACGTACCTTCACTGCAGTCAAGATAGCCCCAATTATGATACTTGCTATAGCAATCATCATCATAATTTTATGGTGTTGTAAATATTTTAATGCTCAATAAACTTGAAATGGCAGTATGTGTTTTAAAGAAAAAGCCTGTAAGAAAGAGTATAGAGGGGTGCTGTTGATAATGTTAATAAAGTGATGATACTGAGAAGAAACGTCTACATGCATGCACGTCCACACAATGTTTTTTTTTCCATTTTTTTTTCTTTTGTTCTTTTGATTTACTTCTTGTCCGCTGAGTCGCTTGCCAAAAGATGAGCCTTATAAATGCTGATAGTGCCCCACCTACCTTCACTGGAATCAGCTAGTCTGATGAGCTTATTACTTTAATTTTCTTAAGCTTATCAGATATTACCTCTTAAGCATTATCAGGCTTGTTATTGTCTATTGTCCAAACTACCTGCATTGGTTGCTTTTGTAAATTTAAATTGAATACAGTTGCCTTCTTGACGCCTCCTAGTAGAAACTTCAGACTTAATCTTCTTAACTTTGACAAAGGAACCGTGCACTTCACAGGCTTTCCAACTCTAGTGTTACTGGAGCAGCACAGTTTTTAGTTAACTGGTATTTTCTCTTTAGACCAGAGTGTTGGTGACCCATGGTCTTCAGTGGCTAGAGAAGTGTGACCAGATTGTTGTTTTGCTGGACGGTCGTATCTCGGAGACAGGCACCTACGAGGAGCTGCTTTCCCATAATGGTGCCTTTGCCCAGTTCCTGAAGACATACCTAACACAGGCTGATGATGAAGATGAGGAGAGTGATGAAGGTTTGAAATTATTACATATTATTTGAAAATGGCAATACCCATGTAAAAAGCTTGGGTTTCATTGTTAAATCATCCACCTGTCTTAAAGTGCCCCAAGATTTGTTAGTTTTCTTATAAAAAGTGACACAAATGCCTGCTTAATGAATTTTGCTTTTTAACCAATATTGCAAAGCAATCTTGTCTTCTTATTATAAATGTGGTTGCATTTTTACATCTATTTGAACTATATGATTTTGGAAACTGTTTATGATTAAATAAAATTGGTCAGTTCTTCAGTTTAATACATCTTAGCTAGGATAAATAAAGCATACTTTTTTGTTTCAATCAAAGAGCTGAAAGATTTAGGCAAGAAAAATTTCAAGAATATCTATGTTCTGCTTTCAGAATTGGTGAGATTTTTATGCTCTACGGTAATATGCCAAACAATTCGACCAAGATTAATTAATTAATTTCATGGAAATGTCAGTTTGGTCGAATTGATTAAAATACAGCAAATGGAAACCTTTGATATCGTCGGATTGTTAGGGGCATCTGCCAAAACGTCCATCTTTCTGGAAGTATTGCATTTTACCGGAAGTGTTACGCAAGATAAGCCGCAATTTTCGCCTAACACGTGTTTCAGGCTTGTTTTATCCGCCTTTTAAAATCTTATTTTGCTGTGTACAATATGTGCTAACATTACTCATAACATTAAAAAAGACGACAATTATAATTTCTAATTATATATTTCCCTCACCTACGATCATTTTCATGATGCGCTTCACGAGTGGGACGAGTACTTCCCCAGAGACGGGTGTTGTAAACAAAGGCCGGTCACTTATATTTGAAACCGGTAGCTTTAGTAGACTTAAACTAGTTATGTGATCTACGTACGCCCTATTTGAATTTTAATATGACAACTGAAATCAACCGAATTGAAATTTTTTACCAGTCTGAGATCAGTTGTTTTCAACCCGCAAGGCTTGCTCAGCGTCAAGGCGTAGACGTACTTCCGAAGAAAATTCAATCACCTGTATCAAAGAATACCAACTGGTACTCAAACGGAATTCAGTGTAACTTCAAATTACTTATAAGTATTTTATTTAAAAAGCATGTCATATTAAAACATATTGAGAAAAGGCAAAATACGGAGCCTACCTGTGCCGATAGACATAGAGTAGGCCTATCTTGCTGGCACTCTTCCGATTTTCTTACTTATATACTCTCGCTGTGCACAAACCACGGTGCATATTGAAAACCCCACTGATACAACCCGAACGTAAAATAAGCATTTAATTGCCATAATTTTCACAAAACAAGTGCATTTATAATTTGACGCGAGAATCATTGAGTACATGCAGAAATGAGACTGGTCTTATCTGGTCTGGTCTAGCATAGCGCAAACCACATGTTAATGAAGACGGTCCCATTTTGGGGGAGGGGGGTCACAGGAATGGAGTTCTTCGTGGATTACGCTAAATATCATCAACATTTCATGCATCTGGGGAAATAAAAAGTGACTCACAGGTAACGTAAATATCCAGTGGAACTCTCTATGAAGCTCTCATGGAGTTAAGGAAGACGTCATTTTTATTGTTGACAAATCAGTTATCCATGTAGGTGAACAGCTACACGTGTTCGTCAGATTTTGACAGCGCGTGGTATTTGGCGCCAAGAAGTCTGGGCGGTCGATCCCGCTGATCTTTCGGTCGATTGTAGTAAATGTAAGATCTTGCGGTGTTGACTTCAAGAACGTTTCCCCATCTGCATATATATTTCAATCAAACTTGAAAATAAATTGCTTATTCTTCCCAAAGTTTTTATTGCTAGCAAACGCTATATATGGTCTATATGAAGGTGTTTACGACGTATTCTACCCACTGTCGATATTTGGTTTAATCAAGAATGGACCTTTTTTAACCCCCCCTTCCCCAGTTACGGGCGTGATGAATCAGTCAGCGAGGGCAAGTCTGCTTAATTAGCACAAATTGTATGTCTATAACACTATCTTGTCATCGGGGACAAAGAAAATGACAGGTAAGTCATGCTTCCAGATTAGATCTCCAATTAATAGTTTCTTCCTCATTGACGAGAGCTATTGAAAGGACAACAATTGACAAAGGGCCCGGCATGCAGCATCTATATGACTGGCTTGAAAATTTACCGAGTCTTGCCGACGATGTGGTCGAACAATCGGAACAAGAAAAAAATTCTGTCGCATGATTTTGACGTATGGACTAAATGTTTGAGCCCAGAAAAATTAATTTTATAATATAATTTTTTTGGTCGGATTGACTGGGCCGGTCGAAATGCTTGGCACATTACCGTAAAAATCATCTGCACAAAGGCAGAATAGAACTTTTCAAACATACAGAAAAAACTTTTCATGACTCTACCAGAACATTTCAAAGAAGATACACCATTAACATGTGTCAACTTCCAGATAGACATAAGAAAGGCGTTTTTTAATGTGACAGCCATTTACAAAAGAACCCTTAATCAAGAAAGACATCATGCACAAATTGTTCCTTGGGTGTAGATTGCATGTTAAACAGCACACGGTTCTTTGATTGGATTTCTCCCGGGCTCTGTTATGATGTATTGAGCAGCTTCCCTCTTGCCATTTTCTCTTTAATCATCTACCCTCATCTTCGCCATCTGAAATAATATGAATGTAAAGTCAACCATTTATAAAATAAGTGTACCCTCATGGGCAAGGTGGCACTTTTGGGATTGTTCAAAAGAAATGAACCTTAGCAAAGATCAAGAATAAAATTGGCCAGTATTTCTATACAGGATACACATTTGCAACCAGTAACTAATGCACTGTAGGAATACACAAAAGTAAAAGAAAAGAAACCATGTTAAAACAATGCCCTGCATTGTGGACAAATTAATAAAAATACATGCAAAATAGCAGTAACTAATGTTTATCAACAGCTGTTCATATGCAACATATCTTCATATACAAGTGTGCAAAATAGCTGCAGCATTTTTGTTAAAATGCACATAATATACCCTAGTTTTCTCTCTTATAAAAACTGAACTTCATCAGTTCATATGTACCCTTTTGCATGACAAAAATTGAGTCAAAACACGAATCTCGGGATGGGAAAAAAACCTAGAACTGGGCAGGGCTGTACAGCACACCTGCACCAGGCATCCAGACTCCATAGTGATATGACATTTCACACACACACAAGTTCAAAGGGATGTAAAACAAGGAAGAAATCAAAGAACCATCTGTTCTTACAGATAAATCAAAGAAATGTTCTACGTTTAGTACAGTTTGGCGGAGACTTAGAGAGCTTCGCATGCAAAGAAAAAAACAGATCCTCCCATTGCAGGTGATAGCCTTTGTGCTGCTTTGTTGTTATGATAATGATAAATGTAAAAAGGAGATCTAAGCCCAAATGCAGGAGAGCAACAAGTCAATAAAAATGTTACAAAAAAAATGAATCTAAAAGTGCAGGGAAGGGGAAAAAAGGAAATTATAAAATAAATTTGAGAAATTATTGTGGAATCTTGCATATCGAAGATTATGCTTTTTTAATAGAAACAGTTATTTCTTCAAATATCTGCCTTTATAACATATCAAATCCCCTTAAGAAGATTATTTCATTGCATAAATATACTTGATCCTAAACCTTTACATCTGCTGGGCTAACAGTTTGAAAGCGTAATCCTGACTGATGTACACACTAAAGGCTTTGGTACTCGTGAATCACTTTCAACCCTTGCACTCTTCCTAGAAAATAAATTCTCATACATCAGTGAACTTCATAGACTTATAAATTAAAAAAAAAAAAAAAAAATCACCATTAGTTTCCACTACTGGACACTCCTAAACTGTCAGTGGCCATTATCAACCAATCATAAAATCTCTTATTAAAAATCTATAAAAATACAGTACAAAAAAACCCTATCAATAATCAATGAGAACTCTTTTCTCCAGGCAAAACCAAAGCTGAAAGTAAGTCTTTGAAGTTCCAATTGATTAAGCTTGGCTGGGTTAAGACACAATCGCCCCAGTGCTGCAAACCTGGCGGTAAAATCTGCTTGAAGTGCGCTGTCTACAGCAAACAGGCTGATGTAACAATCCAAATAATGCGTATTGATCTCCCCTTGTCAAAGGGCTGAGGTATTGGAAATTCAAACCGCCACAGTTATTGACTCTGTGGGATCAACACCTGGTTGTGTGAGGTGAACGCCAGACTCGGTACATGCACGAGTACCAGCTGAGGTCATGTTGCATAATATGTAAAACACACACTCCAGTGAATAGTATTATCTACTTAAAAAGCACCTTAAATTGTATTATCTACCTTATAATCCACATTTTTTAAAAAAGTTACCCAAAATGTTTATAGGAAAATATCCAGAGAGTTTAAGTTTAAGGTTGCACAAAACATGTTTAATGCACAAAATTATGAGAAAATTAGTTGACCTTTAGTATAGACATGGTAAGGAAATATGCCAGACATTCAAATCTAGGCATAAATCATGTCATTTAGGAAAAGGTAAATGATATCTTCAGTAACCTGCTTCTATTAACAAAAATTATTTCATTCTTGGCAGACAAGGATACTTTATCACAACTTTTTTTCATTTTTAAAGAGCATTTTTAGGATAAATCAAAGCTGCCCCTCAGGTATTTCAATACAAATACAATTTTATGATAATACTATATTTGGCAGACCGGAGTGGCTTTGAGCAAAAGCATTATCCATTTTCACCTCAAAAAGGTGGGGCATTTCATAATGCCAAGAACAAAGGAATATTCATGCTAATTTAAAACTAGGTACAATTCTCCATCAAAGGGTGCTAAATCATCTAATCCCCATATCAAAAGAACAAGAGCCTTCTGCACAAACATGTAACAACAAATACTCTTCTAGAGAATTAACAAACAGATTTTAGAGATTTCACTTTAATCTATGTGGAATGCAATCAAGCCAGTTAAGCCTGTGTTAATCTGCACTAATTGTCATCATTTTTTTCAGCTTCAGGTTTAACAGTGATTGCTTTTGAGATATTTTAACAAGTT